TCTTTGCGATCCCGGGCCTCTTCCTACTTTGGAGTCACCATCTGACAGCATGCATTAGACTTCTAAAACACTAGTACTGTTTCAAAGACGAAAATTCTAAATAACAGACAAGTGCCGTTACTGACTGAGCCTTCCACTACACTGGATTTAATTGTATGGCTGTACATTTGGTCACCAAATCATTCTTTAGTGTTACATAACGGAAAGGAAAATTTAGAGCAACCCTTCTGATGGCTTGCCATGGAATTTTGTTCACAGCTATTGGGGGTAATAAAGGTAGTGAAATACCAATGTAAGCAGAAACGATGAAGCTACCCATATGGTGCAGAATGTCGCTTTTCATTACTTTCTGTTTGTTTGTAATGGTTGTAGTCATATATATGTAAATACACACTTATGTAAATTTGCATCTGGGATGGAAAAGCATCCATATCAGCTCTGAGAGAACGAGAGAAAATTTAGAATATTTCATCCAAACCTGCCTTTCCTGTAGTGAGTATTATTAGCATACAACTGCAGGAAACCTCAGACCAATTGAAATGAGCCTTAAACCAATCGCTCAACACACATGTGTTTCTTCCTTCTGTTTGCCCCTAAGTAAGCAAATAAGTAAATAAAATGAAATAAAAATGGCATTCATATACTCTGTAAGTGTGTGAGATTCGGGTGTTATCATATAGAACACAGACAAAAACAAAAGTTTGCAATAAAAGCTGTCTGGATGCCCCTGGGTTCACAACTTGCTGCTGAGGGAGGAATCTCAGTTTAATCTCACAATGCCTCATTTTCTAGACCGTTCAGGACCTGCAAGTTAGGCCAGATACTGTCTATGCCTGGTGCAGTGCCTCAAAGAGGTCTAGGGACTCCCTCTATCTCTGCCCATCCCCTCCTCTTCCCATCAAAGCCTGAAGCTGCCCTGTGACCAGCGTTCTTTTTAGAGTCTTGGCACAGGGGGCTGGTCTATTGTAGGATAAAAGTGGAATTCTCTGCTGTCTGCAGGGCTCTCCCCAGGGAACAGAGCATGAAACCCAAACTTATATAAAATCATATCCTGTTTGCAAACACCATACTCCCTCCGCTTCTCACTAATCGGGTCCCATAAACCCCAGCACAGCTTGAGAGTCCATTCCTCATCTAAACAAATGCCATGAGCCCCTTTATACTTTTACAACCATGTCAAAAAATAATATTGCCTGCCAATAGTGATGTGATTGGAGTTGCCTCCTCTGAGCCATAAAAGAAGCGCAGAGTCTGTTATCAATTTCTCTAAGTGTACCGGGGGAATTATGGGTCGATTCAGTTCCAAGTTATAAATGACAACTCAAAAGCCACAGAAGCGTTTGAAGCTGGGAACTGATGACGACATTATCATAAAAGCCTGCTCGTCCTTGCATTTGTGGTTTTTTTCCTTTCTTTCCTTCGGCCTATCAAGTGAAGAGGGGTAAAATAAGGCTGAGAAATGACTTCAAGATTTCTTCACACAGCAGTAGGTCAGATGGCCAGGAAAATGATCACTATTTATAGTGATGTACCCTGAGGATAGAGAAAGAACATGGTCTTGCTCGGCCTATTGTTTCCAGAGTCTCCTAATGATCTATGTCACTATACAGTGGCTACGGCTCAGGTTTGGCAAAATGCTCTTTCACATGGTGTGTTTTCCTGCAGTGGCATTACTTCATAATTAGAAATGAGTCGTGCCCTGGTAACTAAGAAAATGAGGCTCAAACACAAAGAAATTTGGAAACCCGACATTGTCGCTCAAAATATGGTTCTGGAGAGCATATTTTTAAAGATCCCAAATGCTGCCTGCCCATGGGCTGCATGACCAAGAATTCAATTACCGCAAGCAATTCTAGGGGAAAATCTAATAAGAAGCAGAGGTTTTCTGATTTCATAATGTCTCAGGTCATCTCCTCAAAAGACAATTAATCCATCATCATCCAGTAGCTACACATTAGACCCAGGTAGAATGAAGTTCTATATTCAAATGACAGTTTACATTAAGGGTTGGAAATCAAGCAGTATCTCTGAATTGAAAGTAATGGATCTATCTTGGATAATTTGAACCAGAGGAGTGTTTTAAGACAAAAGCAATTACCAAATGATTGCAAGCTGCCATGGCGCATCCATAACTCTAGGCTACTCCAAGTTCACGTTGTCTGTCTCTTGTATATGCTATGTCTGTGGTTGTCCTGAAAGGGAAAATTTACGCTGGGTCAAAGCCAAAAGACCCAGAGTTCTCCCTAAGGCTGTATCAAAACTAAAGATCTAATGAAGCAAGATGGCACATGTATGGTCAAGAATATGATTTGGGCTGGGCGGTGGTGGCATATGCCTTTAATCCCAGCACTCAGGAGGCAGAGGCAGGTGGATCTCTGTGAGTCCAAGACCAGCCTGGTGTACAAGAGCTAGTTCCAGGACAGCCTCCAAAGCCACAGAGAAACCCTGTCTCAAAAAAACAAAAAAATTAAATAAATAAAAAGAATAGGGTTTGGATCTTTAGAATAACAGTAGTAATACATAATAATAATTCAGGCCCAAGATGGTTCAGTGTTTGGGCAACCCTGATAATTTAAATTAGTCCCCAGAATTCATGCTGAAAGGAGAAAATTAAGTCCCCAAAGTTGTTATGATTTCCACAACCCTTTCTTGGGTGTTTCCCAAGCTGTGTACACACAAATGAGAGACAAAATTTAAATACAACTGCACAAACACAAAAACTTCTGAAACATATACATTTGCCACATCATTGCCAAGTTAAAAGCTTGGCAGGTGTGCACATGCATGTACACAAACACACACACACACACACACACACACACACACACACACTTACACACTTACCAGGGCCTATACAGAAGACAAGAAAATTTGATGATGAAAGTATCCCTCTCAAGTCCTCTCCAACCTTCTCTGGGGCTGGTAAGGCCACCTGACCCACGCCTCTTCCTGCCTCTTCCAGTATTATTTCTTGCCTCTTCCCATACTGTCACTATCCCCCAGCACTGCTGCCGCCATCCTGATCATGGCTATGTCTGGGATAATAATATGAAGGTGTTCTGTGGTCCTGCTATGACCAAGAATCCAATTACAGCAAGCTTTGGGTATACAGAGTCAGCAGGAACAGTCTCTCCTCATTCTGTAGGTAAGAGCTTACAGAAGTCATTCTAGCTGAAGATTAAGTTAACTTGTTATGAGTTTAGTGAAGGTCAGTAGGGATACTTGGGGGCAGTGAACCTTGGGAACACCCCAGGTTATATTTTGGAGGGGAGTTTCAAGGAGCCATTTACCGTTCAGCTATGTGTCATGAACTAAATGTACGTGTACAGAAGTAGGTTTCATTGCCCACCATCCCTTTAATAGCCTTGATTTTCCTCCCACCACAGTTGCCAGGGAATAGCTCCATTTCACCCTTTTCCCCGTTTGCAAGTAAGCACTCCTTCTCCTAGAATAGCCACTCGAGATATTAGAACATATTGGCAAAGGCAATGAAAAACGTTTCAAAGGTCATTTGTCCCCTGCCTTTTAGAACTGTCCAGCAAGCTCCCAGTACCACAGGGCGTTTGCTGCAACTAGCAAGTACTAAAGTGGGATGATGACTGTTTTGTGTTAGGGATCAAACCCGAAAGTCAGTGGTGAGCTGCTAAGAAGGGACTCACCAGACATTGTGAGGCCGGAAGGCTTGAGTACAGAGTCAGCGGCCATCTGCTCATGACGAAGCCCGTGGAGGAATCTGAAAAGCTGCCTCACAGTTTCTACGTGAGAGTTTGCACACAAATACTTCTAGCCCTTCATCACTGGCTGGATGACTTTTAAAAGTCCATGTCACTTCTCCAGAAATTCAACTTCTCACACTACACAAAGGGTGTTATCAATAATTGCTGTGTGTAGACTAGTAGTTAAGAGCTCTTCCTGAGAGCCTGGGTTCAATTCCTAGCACCCTTATGATGGCTCACAACTCTCTGTAAATCCAGTTCCAAGGGACCTGACACCTTCTTTTTGGCTTTTGTGGGCCCTAGGCAGGCAAGTGATGCATAGTCATAGGTGCAGGGACAACAACCAAACACCTTTTCCAAAATTACTTTTATGTTGTGCTGGCTTCCCAAAACTCAGTTGTGATAAACTGTCCAGTCCACATGGACACTGACTAGTGTTGGCATTTTATTTACAGAGAGGCAAGAACATGGAGCAGGGAGAGATTCCCATGTTAGGCATCATTAATATGATAAGATGAACAGATACTTTTGGAAATTTTCTGTATAAGACTTAGTAAAGAATTGCCAAAACATGATTTTTGTTCTCACTCTTCAAAATCTTCAAATTTTACTTTATTTTAATGCCTCAGTACGTGGAAACCTGACCTAGAGTTATGCTGTCCCTGCATGACTTGGCACTTTCTGTTCAGAATAAAGGTTTGTTACTGGTGAGGATTAACTTTAAATAGATTGCAGGCTATAGGGTTTGTTCTAATCAGCCACAAAAATGTAGACATTTTTCTTCATATGTTGCTAGATCTGAACAAATCTATCCTTGAAATGTGGTATAAATATCCTGGGTCAAGTCTTAGTTAATTATTAAAGACAGGAAACAACCACAATGGACTCACAATGTATCCCATAATGCAAAGCATTTTGTGTAGTTTGTTGCCTTTTCACCAGTGACATAATGTATGTGCACAGCTGGTGAAATTCTGCAGAAAATGGTGTTATCTTGCAAAACTACTTAAAAATATCTTCTGGGAATGTTCCCCTGCCACACAAAAGTCTAACAAAGATGGTCTCAGGGAATATGTGCCTTATCACACAACTTGAATGGAAAGGCCTCGAATCTGGTGTACCTCTATGTTATCACCATCTCAAATCTGTTTGAACAAGAAGTTCCAGCTTTGCAACAAGCTCAGTGGGACACAGAGTCCTTTCTGCAAGGCAATACTTAGAAATCAAGGGAGAATTCTTGTAAGTTTGTGTAATTTAAAAAGCAGTAGACAAATTTATACTTACCCCAAGTCCACCACAAGGCAAGGAGGAAAAGAACTTTCGAGAATCATCACCTGCATAGTGTGAAGACACGGAAACATAAATGTTATCAATGGACAGTTCTTACTCTAGGTATTTATTAGCACATAGTATGCAATATGTTTTCCTTATTTCACTTATCTGAAACTTTAGATCAATAAGTTAATTTCCAGAACACATTGCTTATTTATACACATACCCAGGTACAAGCTCAAAGAAAAAAAACACACACACACACACACAAACACACACACATAGAGTTGGTCACCTGGCATTGAACAAGCATATGCAAATGAAATTTAGTTTAAAAATTTGTTTGTGGTACAAAGATTCTTCTGATCATGACTCCTGAGGGGCCTTTGCAGCCCAAGGGAAGATGCAGGTCCCAGCTTCAGTCAGTACCTCTCTCTGTTTCTTTGCCTGCAGGGGTTCTCCGCCTATGTCCAAGATGAACTTGACCTCCGTTCCCTCCCACCTAAGCCCTCTTTGGGTGGGGCAGTGTGAGTTCAGGGTTAGGTCAAAGGCAGGGTAGGGATGTCCATTCAGCCTGCCCACCCTACCTCCTTCAGGGCATTTGGAAAAGCACTCTGCATTCCTCAGAAATAAACCAATGCTGGTTTTTGTTCGTTTGTTTTTGTTGTAGAATCTCATGCTGTATTGCTGTCTGGTGCAACCCACTCTGAAGGCCAAGCTCCCTTGAACTCTCAACAATCCTCCTGCCCCATGCGCTAAAGAGCTGAACCACCACAACAAGCTCAAAAGAATTTTAAAACTAATAATATACTGTCATTATCATTTTTAAAATTGCAGCTCATGGAAAGTAACTCTGTGATCTACTAAGTATATTTTCCAATAGGATGGTTCAAGCCACAGGTTTACGAAAATATGCACTGTCATTAAAAAGTTTGAATACAATATATTTTCTCAAATGTCAGTCAGTTTTTTATTAATTATTTTTTTATTTGTATGTTTTTGGCCATGATATATATGTGGGCTCCAATATGTGTTTGAGATCTCCTGGAACTAGAGTTATAGGTAGTCATGTGGATGCTAGGAATCTAAACTGCTTTTTCTGCTAGAGTAGCCAGTATTCTAACCACTGAGAAACCCCTCTGAACCAGGACTAAGTCCTAGGATATGTATATATATATATATGATGAGTGTCTCTACCTAAGGTATTAGAAAAACTAAGTACATCAAAGAAAGGCCTTTCCATTGTTTGCAATTTTTAAAAACATAACACAATAATAAATATAATATCATATATGAGGTCTATTTATATAAATATAAACAATGTCAAATTTAGCATATATCCTGAAATATTAATTGTGATTATTTCCTGGAATTAAGGTGGGTGCTCAGTATCTTTGGTGGAACCACGTAAAAACTTCCACTTCACCAATGTTCTACTGATGATCAATGAAATGCCACTTAAAATGGAAAAGAATTTTGTGGGGAAAGTCACTGGATCTGGGTGTAAGTCTAAGGAGACTGCACTGTCACAGAAGAAAGCTTATGTTAATACAATAACTTACATGGAAAATTATAATGAAAACTCATGCATGACTAAAAACACCTATATGGTAGAGACAGTACCCCTTTAAAAAAACCTGAGGCCTTGGGTTCACATCACAGTATTAGAAGAGGAACGCTGACACCAGTAAATGGCACTCAAACAAAGCAAAACAGAAAGGGTGGGGGCAAGAGAGATGGTTTAATGGATTACAAAACATGACAACCTGAGTTCAGGACTCAGAAGGAGAGAATAGACTCTTGCAATCTGTCCTCGGACCACAGGACCTTTGCACAAAATTACTGACATGCACAAATAAATTTGTGTGAGCACACACAAATAAATCGATAAGTACTTTTTTGTAGCACTACCGAAGGGTAAATTTTCTAATATTGTTATTCTTAACAAGGGTATTTAAGTATCCCTGAGTATTTTGCAACAGTAAATCCACATCTCAAATGTGAATTAAAAAACATTCTTAATATCTGAGCTCATTATTTATGAGCAAGTAATAGAGATAAAGAAACTGTTGTAATGCAATAAAGTATTTTAAAGAAGCAATCTAGAAATTCATTAAGCTCTATGGGAAATAAATTTATTTAATGATGTTCAAACTTTATTTAGTAACATGATAATACAAATGAAGTAAGTAATTGATAATCTTAATTTAGTTATGTGAAAGAAGTTTACTTCACTTACTGAAGTTATTGTTTGGCAGTGCTATATTAACTTATCAGTGAACTGAAATCTGACTTGCCACAGGTAAGAGACAATGGCAGTAAGAATGACCAAGGCATCAATGCTATAGAAAATCTTCTGCTAGAAAGTAGTGAAGATAATATTTTAAGTTATCATTATACAAGGCCAAAGATAATTGGGTAGTCACAATAAAGGCTAATTACTCTGTAATCTATAGATGCCTTTCAAGATACAAAGACTGGTTGTTAGGTCTGGCCATTCTGAATTTTTATTTAAATCTTCCTTTTAATTCTAAAACAAAATTATCCGAGTATAGTATAAATTTTAAGTTAGAAGTGTCACCTTCCATCTTATTAGAAAGAATTGGAGTGTTGGGAATATTATTTTTAAGGTGTATGATTTTTGTTTATGCTGTCTTTGTTTAACTCTGTGAAGCTGTGTTACTGTGCCTGTCTAAAACACCCGGTGGTCATAATAAAGAGCTGAATGGCCAATAGCAAGGCAGGGGCAAGGATAGGCAGGGCTGGCAGGCAGAGAATGTAAACAGAAGGAGAAATGAGGAAGAGAAGGAGCAGCAAGAGAATAAGGAGAGGAGGAAGAGTATGTCAGGGGCCAGCCACCCAGACACCCAGACACCCAGACACCCAGACACCCAGCAATCCAGACACCCAGACACCCAGACACCCAGACACCCAGACACCCAGACACCCATCCACCCAGACACCCAGACACCCAGACACCCATCCACCCAGACACCCAGACACCCAGACACCCATCCACCCAGACACCCAGACACCCAGACACCCAGACACCCAGACACCCAGACACCCATCCACCCAGACACCCATCCACCCAGACACCCAGACACCCAGACACCCATCCACACAGACACCCAGACACCCATCCACACAGACACCCAGACACCCATCCACCCAGACACCCAGACATCCAGACACCCATCCACCCAGACACCCAGACACCCATCCACCCAGATACCCAGACACCCAGACACTCAGACACCCAGACACCCAGACACCCAGACACCCAGCCACATGGAGTAAGAGTGAAGGTAAAATACACAGAAGAAAGATAAAAGTCCAGAGGGAAAAGGTAAACAGATTAATTGAAGTTAAGAAAAGATGGCTAGCAACAAGCCAAGCTATAGCCTGACGTTAATAACTGAGAATAACCCCGTGTGTGAGTGAGTTATTTGGGAACTGGGGGGTGGCCCCTCCAAAAGAACAAAGAGCCAAAAGAGTGAACATCATTCAATATTAGGGAAGTCCAAAAGTTGTATGGGACCAAACAGGATGGGTAAATTAGACAAAGCATCTAGAGGCTGAGTTCTACAAGCAGAATAGCATCATCCTGGTCTATTTGAAACAAAAGAATTGCAAGCTACAATAATGCAAATTCTACAATGAAGTTTTAAAATATTTCTTTTAAGACTGTAAAATACAATTATGTCAGCATATGTTCCGAAGTGAGGTACTTTTATTTAATTATAAGAGGTTATGAATAAAATGCATTTCCTACTACTGTTTTGTACTATTTTCCAAAAATTTAGTTTCAAGTATCCATATTAAATCTCTATAGCTTAAATTTTATTTTAAAACCTCTGAGAAAATTTTAGAAAAAAATCAAACAGTGAAAAAGATTACAAATCATTCATTTTCTACTTGCATTGTTTATGGCAATATTAGTTTTCAGCATATATTTAATGGATTTCATTGAGACATCTAGGTTTCCTCTAAATAAGGTACTATGTTATCAGCCTGTGTTGAACTCAGAAACAAGAGCTGAACGATAGAAACAAAGGGGAAGGGTGAAAGAAAATTTTATAAAGAATATGAAAAGGTCTTATGATCTTTCCATTTAAAAAAGATGAGCAAGCAAACTTGCTAACTTGAATATTTCTACAAGTGAAAACACACTGTGTAACTGCTGCTCAAATAAAAGTTAATATAAAAAAAAGCATTACACACTCTGCAGTGTCATTTTCTAATGGAGAATCCTCTTGATCTACAGTGACTTCTATCTTACACAACTCGTTCCAGGCAGCAACTGCTGGAAAAATTGATTTTTTTTTCACACTGCTTGCCAAGTATTTTGAGCTGACAGCAGCACTGACTAATGGCAGCGCTGGAATGTGCTGTTCTCAGTAGAATGGAGACCTATACAGACCTAGATGTGTCCTGGAGTCCAGCTTCTGCCCGTCCAGGGGGCTGGTGCCGTACAACAGACAGTGATGTTCAGAATGAACGAGCTGTATTTCCTCCAGGCTGGCTTTCCGACCTTGAATCCGCTGAAAGAAAACAACAGCACTTACAGTCTTCCACTGGCAGCATGCAGAAGGAAACAGGGCCTCGAGTCACACTGAAGATGATTAATAACGGGCTCACATTCATCATGCAAGGATGTGACATAGATTTGCTTGGTAAAGCACCATAATAAAAATTGGAAAATGAGCAGACGCTAGAGTCAGATAAATAGGCATCTGATGACATAAAGCTTATTCACTTCTGGCATGAAGATAAACTTACAGCAAAGAAGTTAGCAATGACTCTTCCTTATAAAAGTATCTGCTTCAGAACAAGCAAATGTATTACTCTATTGTGCTACACTGACCTGAAAAAGATGCTGGAAGGAAGGGTGGAATTAATACCACTAAATTTGACTGCACTGGATTTTCACTATCAGAAACATGGCAAATACTTCAGGAGTGTGCCCCTCCCGGTAGCCGTTCTCTTGGCCAACACTTCTCAAAGCGTATGCCAAAGGATACTTTCCGCTCAGGGTCTATTAACAATTGTCTGTACTGAGTCAGTGTAGAAGTTTGTAGTCAGTATTTAGAAGCTTACGAGACAACTGTCCTCAATTTATATTTCACTCTTAAAACAATCCATTTAGTGTATTTTGTAAAACTATTATTGGTGACATATTTACAATTAAACAAAATAAACGCTGCTGATAATTTGAGACAATCTAGACTCACTCAATGTTCTATACTCAAGCTCAGGTGAAAATTTCACTCATTCTAACAAAGAATTGACCTTCGTAATTCCCAAAACTATGCATTCAATTAAATCTCAATTAGCCAACGTGTGGTCTTCCTGGCTACATTTCTCTGTTAACAGTAGATCCACAAACCTGATAATGCTTGTTCTTACATATGATGTTCATACGTTGAAAACTGCTGTGCTTCCTAAAACTACACAAAGCACACTATGCCTAGAATACACATGACCACAAGCAAGTAGTAAGTTAACACTGAGGCACAAAACTTTAGTGAGAATCAAAAAGAATCTTTTCTTCCATGTACCAGGGGAAGAAAGAAACACCAGGTAAACTGGAAGAGCATCTCCCTCGGGACCAGGGCAATCCCATCCTCAGCCTCCTGGGTGAAAGGGGATGAGGCTGTGGGCAGGCCATTCAGTGTTGATATATGGTTCACTGAGAGGGCAGGCTGGAGAGATGGCTGCATAGTGACCCTCACGTTTTACTGTGCAGGAGGCAGAGCTGGGCCTGTCATTAAAACAAATGATCAGGCCACAGTTAGGGAGGAATGGCCCACAGAGCAAGAGAGTGATGGGAAGCAGAAGGCTCCCAAGACCACCTCCTTGTCCCAAATAAACAAGCAAAGACTTCAGGAATTTTCTTTGCCGTAACATTGAAGTTCCCTGCTTTTGACACTATCATTCAGCATTATGTGAATCCAATTTAGAGTTCTAGAAAACTAAGGCTATACTTAAGAAAAATTATTTCTAAGTAAGAGGCGAATTCTAGTAAGAAAGAAAAACTTTGTAATGAGCAGCCACTGCTCTGATCAAATATCAAACATCCCATAGAAGTAGGTGAATGACTGGTAAACATGAGATTTGGAAATGTTTATGAAAGACCAGGACAGCCAAATAATTAGAACACCTAGAGGGAGGTAAAATGAGTAAGAGAAAGATGAAGGTCAGGATCTCAGAGACAAAGTTTAACTAGAAGATTTCAGAGTTGGAAAGTCCCCCACTGAAACCCTGGTAACTCCATAGTTTGACTCATCTAAAGCAGAATGAGCAGAGGTCAGAAAACAGATAGCCAATCCTAGTTGCATAATGATGACTACTTAGAAAGGAAACAGCAACTTGTCCACAGACACATATGATGTATGCAGATACAGTAAAGGACACATTAAATAATGCCAATTATTCCTATTGTTTTTAGAGTATTGGAGATTGAACCCAAGACCTGTACACTAAGGAAGCATTCTACCACTAAGCCCCACCCACAGCACTCTTACCAAGTTGCCTAGAATGGCCTTGAACTTGCAAAACTCTTGCCTCAGTATGGGATTAGAGGTTGTACTGCCAGACCATGCTAGCAATGTCAATAGCTGATGATTAGACTCATGTTTTGAATACTATACTAACAAAATCCCTATCATGTTCCCCCTTCTCCTTTCCTACTAAGAATTTTTAAGGTCTACATTATATTTTTGCCTCTGGTATAAAATCAGACATCATTGATAGTGTTTTTATAGCTAGTCACATACATGTTCATGCTATACACTCTATGCTGCCTCAAATATTGTTCTTATTCTTCAGTGATTCAAATGGTACTCTAGCTGAATGCCCAGCCATGTACCATGCAATGATCTGCAACAGGATTCAGGGTTCATGGTAGTAGCCAGTCATTCAAGTGATGACAATAATAATAGGACACCTACTGAATTGCACTTGGGTAAGACTGGCAAATAGGCAAAAAGGACCTAGCCCTGTGCTCATAATCTATTCTTGTTTCATTACTAAAATGCACCACTGTGATGGGGGATGTCCCTCTGTATATGTGTTTCTCTTATTGGTTGATGAACACAACACTGTTTGGCCAATAGCCAGTAGAGGCAGGAAGATGAGTGGGGCCAGGAGATGAGGAGATACTGTGAAAGGTAGGTGGAGGAGCCTCAGAAGAGACATCATGGAGGGACTGGATGGATAGGACACACCAGGTGTTTTCCGGTAAGATAAGGCCATGTAGAAACAAATAAATAAGTAGTTATCGGTTAATAATTAAGACAGAGCTAGCCAGCAAGAAGCCCTAGTCATCAGTCAACAGTTTAATAATTAATATAAGTGCTTATTTGGGACTGAAGTGGCAGTGGACCTGGCAGACAAGAATCTCCAGCTACACAATTGTTTGTAAGTTTTCATCTTGATAACACAAATGTTGGATCCATTCACCCATCCATCCATCCATCCATCCATCCATCCATCCATCCATCCATCCATCATATCGATATATTGTTTGAAAGATAATTGTATCCAATATAAGGAAGCAACCAATATTTTTCTGTATTGTTTGTTTTGTTTTGTCTTATGAGATAGGATCTCAGCCTGACCCCATGTCACCATCCTCCTGCCTCAGCTTCATGAGTTCTGGGAATACAGGGATGCCCCATCACACCAGACGGAAATAACATGATTTCTTGTCAATAACTTTTGCTTCTACAGCTGCTAGGGAGAAAGAAGCAGTAGAAGCCAGCCTATAACAGGCGTCTCACTCTCTAGAAGAACAAGGAGAAAGCATAGCTTGAGATGTTTGTCTCTCTGTGGGAACTGAGTAGACAGCCGGGCAAGCTGAGAGTCCCCCAGTTGCAACTGTGTTCTTTTTTAGCATTATTAGTGTGACTGGATCACTCCACTCTTATCAGATACCTTATACCAGTCACAGCCAACTTTCCTCATACTGATCTCTAGACTATTTCTCGTTTTAATTTAGTCTTTCACTTATTTGGGCTGAACTGTAGATATTTTTAATCTCATCCCTTCTCTTTCTATTTCCCATGAGGTCTTTAGTCTCCATTATTTTCCCCAAGATGCTCCCAGCAGTCAAAGGTCAAGAGCATAATGACTCACCAAATGGAGCAAAGTGCTCTGTTCATCTTAATTTAAGGATATCCTGATTTCCATTCTCAGAGATAATTGGTCTGAAGGAAGACTATGTAAACTCATCGATGATATTCTGACCCAAAGTATTTTTAAGAATTCTGAACATATTAGGACATTTAACGTGTTAAAAAGATGCAGTGTATCTGGGGAGCTCCTCCATGGTACCCTTGGATCTTGACCTATACAGGTCAAGCAATGAGTATTTATAGCTCTTCTTTTGGCTTCCTAATAAGAAACATTGTGAGGTAGCCTATGTTTATTGCTCCATTATCATTATTTGTGTCTTGCCTTCAATCAGTGTCTACTGAAAACCAGGAAGGAGCCAATGCTTAATGAGTGCCTACTCCATGATTATGAGTATGATTAAATTCAACACTGATCCAAGAAAGTTCGAATCAGATTGGAAGTTTGACTAAAGTCATATAAAATTACCATATCAACGAGTCTCACAATGGTTCTTTCCTAAAGAAATAGTCTTTCTGAAATAAAGCCCCTTAATGCAACATGATTATAGAAAGAATGTTCTGAACATGATCTACAAAGCCATACTGTGACAGGATAAAACAGGGCCTGCCCACACCCACCCACACACGGAGCACACACACGGTATAGATTCACATTTTTTTTCTGCCAAGGAGCAGAGAAAAAAGGAAACAGTTCTATTCCTTCCTCTCCTGTGTTCAAAGCCTGGATTGAGGCCAGTGTCCTAATCAGTTCTCATTGGCCCTGGAGGAATCAGAACCTTTTGTAAAATATAATAAAGGGCATAAAATCATGATAAAATGCATGAAAAAGCAATGCCTTTGGTTAGGGAACTAGAAATAATTTGGCAGAACAGATGGATTGCATTGGTTTGGTATTACTGAGGACATGAAAGGGCTCATTCTGTGGCGGTTCCAAACGAAGAGAAAATGTCCAACTTAAATTTGACAAGTCAAAGTACCTGCCTTCACTGGGGGAAGGGGACTCCATTTCCTTTAATCATTTTCAAAGTAGTGACATATTAGGCAAAATTATCTACTGAAATGTCTCCATTTCTAAGATTTCCCCCATTATTTGTAAGTAGAGGGATGTGTATATGTTTTCTCCCCTCAAAAATCCACAGAGCTGTAAACATTCAGAGTGTGTGTGTGGGGAGAGATGAACTATAAGTGACTTATTATTACCAAAGTTGCTTTCTGCAGCACATGCAATATTTAGCAGCTTGAGCATGGTCCATTGATTATTCTTGACATGCATTCTCCTCTGGATACAAAGGAAGTGTGCACAAGTAGATCTCCTTTAGCATCGCCAGGCTGCAATCAATTGTTTAACTCTTACATTAAGACACTGTTGGTAAGCCCTCCGGCCGCTACACCTCCTTACATACAGT